TTTTAGATTCACAACCAAATTGAACAAAGTATAGAGAATTCTCACGTACCTCCCCTCTCCACATGCTCACCTTCCCCCACTGTCAACATCCCAAAATACAGTTATATGTTGTTAAATCGATGGATCTACACTGGCATCATTATCAACCAAAGTCCATTTTACATGAGGGTTCATGCTTGCTGTTGTATATTCTGTGGGTTTGGACAAATGTATAATGGTGCATATCTGTCACTACAGTATATCATATAGAATGGTTTCGCTGCCCTAGAAATCTTGTACTCTACCTATTCATCCCTTCCTCCCCACAACCCCTAGCAATCACTTATCCTTTTACTGTCTCTATAGTTTTGCCTTTTCCAGCATGTTATATATTTGGAATCATACAGTATATAGGCTTTTCAATTGGCTTCTTCCACTTAGTGATATGCATCTAAATTTCCTTCATGTTCTTTCATGGTTTGATAGCTCATTTCTTTTAGCTCTGAATAATATTCCATTGTCTGAGTATACCACAATTTATCTATCCATTCACCTACTGAACGACATCTTGGTTGCTTCTAAGGTTTGGCAATTATGAATAAAGTTGCTATAAACATCCCTGTGCCAGTTTCTCTGTGAGCATAAGTTTTCAACTCATTTGGGTAAATACCAAGGAGTGCAATTGTTGGGTCAGAGTAATTGCTAAGAGTATGGTTAGTCTTTACTTTAAAAAAACCTGCCAAAGTGTCTTTCAAAGTGTTTGTACTGTTTTGCATCCCACCAGCAATCAATGAGTTTCTGTTGCTCTACATCCTTGCCAGCATTTGGTATTTCGGATTTTCACCATCCCAGTAAGTGTGTAGTGGTATTTCACTGTTGTTTTAACTTTCCATTCCTTGATGACGTAATGTTATCTTTTCATATGCTTGGTTACCATCTCTATATCTTCTTTGGTGAAGTGTCAGTTCATTGTTTTGCCTGTTTTTAAGTGGATTTTTTTTTTAGTGTTGAGTTTTAAGAGGGTTTTTCTGTGTTTGTGTATTTTGGATACCAGTCCTTTATCAGATACATCCCTTGCAACTATTTATCTCATTCTGAATCACTACATTTTATGTCATCTATTTTAAAGGTTCGAGGATTATATTTTTAAATCTCTTTTTCTTTTGGACTTCTGAGAGCCCTGAGTTTTATTTATTTTAGACTAAATTCAAAGCAACAACTAGCTTTTGAATGGCAGAGAGCAAAATCAGTCAAACAAATGGTAGTTACTATGCTCCCTTCACAAACATTTTGAAACACAGGTTACCTTATTTGTTGTGTTTTCTAGCACACTGAATAAGGAATTATCATCTTAAGCAATAAAACTTTCTATTTGAATTCTTTTGGATGGATATGTTTATAAAATAGGTTACCTGCCTACTTACATTGCAAATACTGAGCATAACTGAACCTCTTCATTATGACTTTAAATCATAAGATAAGAGAATACTCTAAAAAACAAGAATAAGGTGCTATGAAAAAAGAAAGAATGAGAGAATAAGAAGAAGCTCCTGGAAATTAAAAATGTTATTATAAATAAATTCTGCTAAATAATAATTCTGCTAAAAAATAAGGTCAAGGAAATTGCTTAGAATATAGAACAAAAGAGACAAAGGAATGGAACACTGTGGGAAAAAAATCTTTAAAAATCTATTCAGGATATCTCCTATCCAATTAATAGGTATTCATAAAATTAAACCAGAGAAAACACAGGGAAATAATTTACCAAAGAAATAATAAAGAAGTTTTAAAAAAATGAGAATATGAGGGTTTCTAGCTTGACAATGGCTAGGCAGTGAATGGAAAATGATCCACGCCAAAGAAATTGTGTAATTTTAGAACCCTAGGTTTAAAAATGAGATCCTAAAAGTTTCCTGGGAAGAAAAATTACATTACATGCAAAGGATCAGGAATCATAATGGTAATGTTATACCTTTTCAGGCTGTCAAGCTTGAAGTAAAATAAAGACACTTTCAGGCATACAAATTCTCCCATTTATCTCCCATACACCTTTACTCAAGAGAATGTGTGCTATTAAAACAAGAGAGGGACCAGAAGAGAAAGACTCAGTTTCTAGGGGATCCAATGCAAGAAAATGTCAAAGGGAAATCCCAGAAAAAGCATCTATTGCAGGTCTAAGAGTCATTCTCTAGAGCAGAATGGGAGGATAGAGGCTCCAAGAGGGAAGCAAGAGGTGAGTGAGTAGAAAGGACACAAAATCTATGTATTTGATGGCATGGAAAGTGATATGAGATGTGTTAGTGTTTTAATTATTAATAATAGGTATGTTGGAAAGTAACCTAATAAAAATGGGGTGGTTATTCATTTCAAAAAAATGTACAGAAATGGAAAAGTAACCATGGTATTTTTGGCTCCACTGTGAACAACTTTTACACGGCCCTAATAATGTAATCAGCAAATACTGATCCAACTGTAGGGAAGGACAGTTTGAAAAGGGTGTAAGACAGCTTAGTTCTCATCTATCTTAAAGGAAGTGAATAGTTAATGCCTAACACACATATCATGAAACGCTGATGTATTATTTAGAAACATGGAAGTGCATATCAGAAGAAACAGCTAAAATAATTAAGGTTGTTCCCTCTAGGGCAAGGTTGTCCAAACTTTTGCTTTCCCTGGGCCACAGTGGAAGAAGAATTCCCTTGGGCCACACATAAACTACACTAACACTAATGGATAGCTGATGAGCTAAAAAAAAAAAAAAAAAAAAAAAAAACCTCATAATGTTTTAAGAAAATTTACAAATTTGTGTTGGGCCACATTCAAAGCTATCCTGGGCCACAGACAAAAAAGTAAAGAGGTGATTGCCAGGGGCTGGGGGCAGGGGAGACGTGGAGTTACTCTTTAATGGGAACAAAGTTTCAACTGGGGAAGATGAAAAATTTCTGGAGATGGATGGTGGTGATGGTTGTACAGCAATGCAAATGTATTTAATGACACTGAAATGTACACTTAAAAATGGTTAAAATGATGGCCAGGTGCAGTGATTCACACCTGTAATTCCAGCACTTTGGGAGGCTGCAGCGGGTGGATCACCTGAGGTCAGGAGTTCGAGACCAGCCTGGCTAACATGGCGAAACCCTGTCTCTACTAATAAGGTACAAAAATTAGCCAGGCATGATGGCAGGCGTCTGTAATCCCAGCTACTCAAGAGGCTGAGGCAGGAGTAATCGCTTGAATCTGGGAGGCGGAGTTTGCAGTGATCAGAGATCACACCACTGCATTCCAACGTGGGTGATAAGAACAAGACTCCTTCTCAAAAAAAATAAAAATAAAAATAAAAAAATAAAAAAATAAAAAAATTTTAAAATGGGCCGGGTGTGGTGGCTCATGCCTGTAATCCCAGCACTTTGAAAGGCCAAAGTAGGAAGATTGCTTGAGGACAGGAGTTTGAGAACAGCTTGGCCAACATTGTGAGACTCCCATCTCTACAAAAAATATAGAAATCGGCCAGATTAGTTTTATTTAAGTGGTAGTGTGCACCTGTAGTCCCAGCTACTGGGAGGCTGAGGCAGAAGGATCACCTGAGCCTGGTGAGTGCAGGGCTGCCATGAGCCCTGATCACACCACTGTACTCCAGCCTGGGCCACAGAGTGAGACCCTGTCTCAAAAAAAAATTTAAAAAGAAAAAAATGGTTAAAATGGTAAATTTTATATTGCATATATTTTACCACAATAAATAAAGCAATATTAGAAAACAATTTAATAATTATTTGATTTTCAAGTAATTATATGCATATTTTAATTTCATTACAACATTAATTTTTAGAAAGCTCTGCATGAAAGCCTGAAAAGTGTTTTTTGGTTTTTGGTTTGCTTGCTTGTTTTTCTTTTTTTTTTTTTTTTTTTGAGACAGAGTCTCACTCTGTCACCCAGCCTGGAGTGCAGTGGCAAGATCTTGGCTTGCTGCAACCTCCACCTCCCAGGTTCAAGAGATTCTCATGCCTCAGCCTCTTGAGCAGCTGGAATTACAGGTACATGCCACCACCACTGGCTAATTCTTGTATTATTTGTAGAGATGGGGTTTTACCATGTTGGCCAGGCTGGTCTCGAATTCCTGACCTCAAGTGATCCGTCCACCTTGGTCTCCCAGATTGCTGGGATTATAGGTGTGAGCCACCGCATCCAGCCACTGAAAATTGTTTGTATGTGTCATGAATATTAGTGTCCACAGATTTTATGATATAATTTAGGCCACACAAAGACCTTTTATGGCTTTTGTCTAGTTCTTACCTATATTCTCCTTAGATAAAGATAGATAAGTTATTTTCAAATAAGGGAAGTATTACTGAACATGACTATTTTGTGAATACATTTCGGGGCAATTTGAGATACCAGATTCCTAAATGTAGCACATTAACACTGTGAATAAATACATGGATTCATCTAGTTTGAGCAAAGACCTTATTATACAGGAGTTGTCCTTTTATGGCCTCTGCTATTCTCAGTGGCTATTCTAAATGCTTGCCTGTGCAGTCACCCCTGAATGGTTTGTGGGAACTCATCTCTGCATTTGGCAGGGACTGGGTGGGGCTCTGAGTGAACTAGAGATATAGTAGCAGGTAAGTGCCTGTATTGTCACAGATGATTTCTGGCTCGCAGCTGAGTATCTTTTTCTAATCACTTTCCTTAACCTGGTCCCAATAGTAGTAGATGTGCATTTGTTTCCTCACGATTATAAGCAATAAAAGGCCGATTGGCTTGGCAGGAAGAAGTCCAAGTGGTAAAGAGCAATCCTAATTCAAATCATTGTCCCTTAAGTTTACAATTGAGAAGGCAGCTGTAAGAAGAAAATAATGATGAAAAACAACTTTATGTGTCCTTAGAGACTTCAAACTGCTTTCCAGCATTTAAGTCATGCTGCTTGGTTTTGACAGGTTACATTTACCTTCCAGGGTTTATTGCTGTAAGAGCAGTGTTATTTTTTGTTGTCATCCTGCCTAAATTTTCCTCTTTGTTCACAGTGCGAGATGAGGACAGAAGCACGACGAAAAAATCTTCTCATTTTGATTTCACATTATTTAACACAAGAAGGGTATGTTACATTCCAAACATTTATAGAGATGTTTCCTCTTTCTCTGCTCTCTACTTTTCCAGATACATACTTTTAAATACAATACACTTTCTTGTTTTGAGCAGTTCTATATTTACAAAAAATCAAGCAGAAAGTACAGGGTTCCGTACGCCCCTTCCCTTTTCCCGTTTCCCCTCCCAGTGACATCTGTGTTGATGTGGTATATTATTACAGTTGACGGGCCGATACATTATTAACTGAAGTCCCTAGTTTACATTAGGGCATACTCTGCGTTATATTGTGCTGTGAGTTTTGACAAATGCATAATGGCCATGTATCTGCCAATATGGTACCATACAGAATCGTTTCGCCATCCCAAAAATCCCCTGTGTGCCACCGATTCCTCCTCCTGCCCCAGCAACCCAGACATACACTTTTTCTTTTTTGAGATGGGGTTTCATTCTGTTGTCCAGGCTGGAGTATAATCATGGCTCACTGCAGCCTCTAACAACATCCCCCTGCTCCCAGCCTCCCCAGTAGCTGGGACTGCTGGTGTGCACCATCATGCCTGGCTAATTTTTGTATTTTTTGTAGAGACAGGGTCTCACCATGTTTTCCAAGCTGGTCTCGAATTCCTGAGCTCAAATGATCAGCCCACCTCAGCCTCCCAAAATTCTGGGATTACAGGTGTGAGCCAGTGCCCTGGCCTCAGACGTATGCTTTTATTGCCTCATTTACTTAGGTATTTTTCACATTAGATATTGAAAACTTTTTCAACAGGTCTATCCAGTACATAAAGTACTTTTCCTTTCCTCTACACATTTGAAGATAGGACAGAAATGAGGTTTTCCTATAGTCTCAATGCTGGCTATGTACACAAGATAACTTTCTTAATCAGTTTTCCTTTCCTCAAAATAAAGGTATTGCATTTACTTGGACAACCTAAGCCCAGCTCTCTTCTTCCTCGCAATACCCATTCTATAACTGGCAGGGTGAGGAAATTTAAAAACTTTTGGGTTTGGCCACCTACCTCATTGAAAACACACAAGCAGTTACAGTGTTGGATGGCATAAGAGGAAGAGAGCTGCTCCACAAAGTGTTTGAAGGGCACTATCTACTTTATATTCACTTTTCTTTTCAAATTTCAGTCAGGAAGAAAACATGTAGGTTTCAGACTAAGAGCTTACAAACTTTTCTTTTTTTTTTTTTTTTTAACAGATGGGGGTCTCACTCTGTTGCCCGGGCTGCATGATCATAGTTCACTGCAATATCTAACTCCTAGGTTCAAGGAATCCTCTCAGCTCAGCCTCCTGAGTAGCTGGGACTACAGGCACATGCCACCATGTCCAGTTAATATTTAAATTGTTTTTAGAGACAATTTAAAATTGTCTGGTGCTCAGGCTGGTCTTGAACTACTGGCTTCAAGTGATCCTCCTGCCTCAACCTCCCAGTCACTGAGATTAGGGCTTTAAAACTTTTGGGTTAGAGCAGTGGTTCTCAATTAGGGTGATTTTGTCCCTTGGGGGATATTTGGCAATGCTTAGAGTTCTTTTTGGCTGTCGCACTGGCATCTAGTGGATAGAGGCCAAGGATACTGCCAAATGCCATCTGACGCACAGGACAGCCCCTACAACAAATAATTATCTGGCTTTGAATGTCAACAGTGCCAAGATGGAGAAATCTGGAGTCAGAGCAAGAAAAACCAATCAATTTTTGATATTTTCCCAAAAAGTCTGATAAGCATCTTTTCCTCCATTAAACAAGGGAGCTACTGGAACTAAAAGTCAGTTTTGAGGTTCCAGTGACCCTAGTCCTGGAGAGGCACAAAGGAAAAATGTGAGGAGGGCAGGAGGCAGTTGATAAGGAACTGAGAGTTCCCATTGTTTCTCTTACCCATGCCAGCAACCACTGCTTTCAATAAACCTATTGCCCCCTAGAAGGGATGACCATTTTAGAGACTTTGAGGAATTTTTCTCCACATTTTATAGTAGATATTGGGGTATCTATTTTATACTTGAAGAAATTCAGGCTTAGAATAGTCAAAGATTGTGTCAGGAGGTCACCTGGGTGTAAGTGGGAGAACTTTCCAGGCCTGTCCTGACCCAAAAGCCTTCCAGGTCCTTATGTTTTTTGCTCCAATGTTGAAGATTGCTTTTGCTTGAGGATCACATCAGAAAAATCATAATGCAGGTGGGCTATGTTTTTTGAGGTTTTTGTTTTGAATGACGATTTTTTTTTTTTTTTTTTGAGGCAGAGTCTCGCTCTGTTGCCCAGGCTGAACTGCTGTGGCACAATCTCAGCTGGCTGCAACCTCTGCCTCCCAAGTTCAAGTGATTCTCCTGCCTCAGCCTCCTGAGTAGCTGGGATTACAGGTGGCTGCCACCATGCCCGACTAATTAATTTTAGTAGAGACGTGGCTTCACCATATTGGCCAGGCTGGTCTCAAACTCCTGACCTCAGGTGATCCATCCACCTCAGCCTCCTAAACTGCTGGGATTATAGGTGTGAGCCACCACATGCAACCTAGAAACACGATCTTTTGAAGTCTTTTTTTTTTTCAAATTTCGATGACACAGCCCTTAAGAGATCCTGAGAACATGTGCCCCTAAAGTCTTTTAAAGAAAATGAAATCTCTGCAATTGTACTTAAGCATTTTAAAAATCATTTGTGTCATTAAAGGATCTGGGGTTCTTGTTTTTTGCGGTTTTTTTCCCCCAAAATTTCAGATATATGCATTTGGTAGTTTCTTTCAGCACTCCGTACCATCCTGAGTAGCAAACAAATCACGTTGTAGCTAGATTTCTGAATGGAAATGAGAAATTGAATTCTCTATGGACTTTTAGTTTTATGGGGGAGTTTTGGTTGTGTTTCTTGATTTTATTTCAGCCAAACATGTCTGCTTTTGATTTTCTTAAAAAAGTAAAATTGGTCTGTATATATGTTCACCTTTTAAATGTAAACGTTTAAAAGTAAGCATTTATTGTTTCCAAAACTGACATCTGATGAAGACCTCATTCTCTCCTCCTCTTCTACCCTCCTCTTTTCCCTCTTTTCATACTCTTGTATTGGTTCTAATAAATGGTTACTTTTCAAAAAAAGTTAGATATATGCACTTGATAGTCAATTATAACACTGTACCTTTGAACAAACTTTGTTACTGAGTAGTCTGATTTATTTTCTCCCCTTGGCTGACCATGTAAGCTGCTTAATTGCAAAAAGTAGCCTTTCTCATCACCCTTAGTATCAGAATTTTGAGAATGACTTTTTTCTTATGGTAAATATAATGAATTGCAACATCTTTAATACAAAAACATTTCTTACTCACCTTGAAACACATGATTTTATCAGACACTTCTCTTTCTGGTGTTAGGGAGATATATTTTATTGAGAAAATAGCTCATTCTTCCCACATCCCCACCACCCACTCCCAGACTAGAGAAATGAGTGCCCCCATCCCATGGTTAGCAGGCAGGCAGGCCATCAGTCACTTCTCAACTTAGGCTCGTACTCTGTATCTCCATATAGCAGTGGGGTGGAATTGAGCCCCCGAGCAGGGCAGGGCTGACTTTGGTCTTTTCTGTGCCTCTGTTTCTCCATCTGGACTATAAGAGTGTTCCTGAAATTGACAAGCCAGACAGTCTGCACGCAGGTAGTGGGCTGCTCCGCTCTATTCAATGGGCACTTAAGAAAAGTAACCCCAAGGGTAGCATATGAGAAAGCGCCAAGTGTCCAATCTATGACAGAGCTGTGGGGCTTGTTGTCATAGGGACGGCTTCCAGGATATGCAGAGGAGCCACTGGGAGCCAGACTATTCACTTTTTTTTTCTTTTCTTTCCTTTTCTTTTTTTCTTTTTGAGACGGAGTCTCACTCTGTCTCCCAGGCTGGAGTGCAGTGGTGCGAGTGGTGCGATCTTGGCTCACTGTAAGCTCCTCCTCCCCGAGTTCAGGCCATTCTCCTGCCTCAGCTTCCCGAGTAGCTGGAACCACAGGCGCCCGCCACCTCACCTGGCTAGTTTTTTATATTTTTTAATAGAGACGGGGTTTCACCAAGTTAGCCAGGATGGTCTCGATCTCCTGACCTCGTGATCCTCTCTCCTCGGCCTCCCAAAGTGCTGGGATTACAGGCATGAGCCCCCGCACCCGGCCCAGACTATTTTTTTTCAAGTGCCTGCTCTTCTCTTTGCTAATTTGTGATCTTGGACAAATTACTTATTCTCTTTGTGCTTATTCTCTTTGTGCTTCAGTTCCCTTATCTATAAAATGGAGTAATGGGGTATAGCTAAGTATCAGGTAGATGAAGTTATTACGAGGATTAAATATGCAACATGCTTAGAATCGTGCCTGACAATTACACTTATACTTCTATTATTGATAAGATTTGGGTTTTATTCTCTTAATACTCAACTTGGTTCAGCAAAGGACTTAAAGAAACTGGAGGCCGGGCGCGGTGGCTCAAGCCTGTAATCCCAGCACTTTGGGAGGCCGAGACGGGCGGATCACGAGGTCAGGAGGTCGAGACCATCCTGGCTAACACGGTGAAACCCCGTCTCTATTAAAAAATATAAAAAACTAGCCAGGCGAGGTGGCGGGCGCCTGTAGTCCCAGCTACTCGGGAGGCTGAGGCAGGAGAATGGCGTAAACCTGGGAGGCGGAGCTTGCAGTGAGCTGAGATCCGGCCACTGCACCCCAGCCTGGGCGACAGAGCGAGACTCCGTCTCAAAAAAAAAAAAAAAAAGAAACTGGAATGTGGGCTTGGCCCATTTTATATCATCTTTTGATGGAATCTCAGGTCTATCCAAAGAACCCTGAGTTAAAATACTTCAAGGTGCTTTTCTAAGTGTGTGAAACACTTGAAAGGGTAGTTATACAGAATGTTAATAGATGTGAAAGAGTTTCGTGGTCAGGTACGCTTGGCAGACATTGGGTTAAACTAAACAAGGTCCCTTATTTTAGGACTTCTCTGACCATCTAATTTACTATGTGCAATGAGAATATCATACTAAAGTCACAGTATTCAAGGTTTTGCAAACCAATTTGGCCAAGGTTTTTCTGGGGTTTTCTTATTGTGGTGGTGGTGGTGGTGGTGGTGGTTGTTTTGGAGACAGAGTCTCGCTTATCATCCAGGCTGAAGTACAGTTGCCCAGTCATGGCTCACTGCAGCCCCAAATTCCTGGGTTCAAGTGATCCTCTCACTTCAACCTCCTGTGTAGCTGAAACTACAGGTGTGTGCCACCACACTCAGTTTATTTATTTATTTATGGTAGAGATGGAATCTTGCTATGTAGACAGCTGGTCTTGAACTTGTGGTCTCACTCAATCCTCCCACCTCAGCCTCCCAATTAGCTCGACTGCAGGTGCGCACCACCATGGCTACTTTTTGTTTTGTTGTTTTGTTTTGTTTTTTTGGTAGAGATGAGATTTAGCCATGTTGCCCAGGCTGGTCTGGAACTCCTGGGCTCAACTGATCCACCTGCCTTGGCTTCTAGAGTGCTGAGATTACTGGAGTGAATCACTATGCCTGGCCTAAGAAACTCTTTTTTTTTCCCTCAGATCATCTTTAGAGACTGGTTTTCCACAGATAACTTTGAGAATGCTATCTTCCGAGATTAGCTGACTCTTATAAAACTTAAACTCACGATGCCAGGCCCCAGCACTGTGAACATAGTAACAGAATCTCAGTAAATGTTATTTGCATAGCTATTGAGGAACTTACTAGAATGTAGATGGGTGGAATAATTAGAAACCAAGACAAAGCCATTTTCACAAATAATCCCTGATTTTTTCTTACAATGTATTTTTTGTTCCACAAATTGTATCAGAAAGAAGAACTGTAAAAACAAAAAGACAAAAATAAAAGTCAGATGTAGTTGTTAAGGCCGAGTTTGCTGCTTACAAAGCGTGCATTTTTCCTTTCTGCCACGAGGTGGCTCTTTGTATCTTGAATCAACGAAAGTTCTACTAGAACTGATCATTTTCCCGAAACCTGCTGGAAAAGGGACAAATGAGTGGATTATCAAAATGAAAATGAACTATAGATAATTTTAAGGACATATAAGCATCAGTAAAAGAGATCTAATGAAGTTCTACAAATTCAGCAAAGAGGATAGATTACTGTGGATTAAAATAAACAATCAGGGAAAGATTTGTAGAGAGGGTGATGTGAGCTGGACTTAAAAGATGTATAGAATATGAATAGACCGATGTGATGGTAAGGCCATTCCTGGCAGAGGCACAGAGGACGAAGGGGCACAGCCTAAGTGGAACAATTAAGTAAACAGGAAGACCAGAGTTTGAATGCGTGAGTGAGAATTGGTGACAGCATACAATGGAGGGTCATGGATTCTGGTTCTTCTATTAATAGTCCTCCATATCCATCTTCTCGGGCTTAGGTAATGTTAGTAGCCTCCCCATCTCTCTCTTGTGTCTTGTTATTACGGCCCAGTATTGCACTACTTGCTGAACACTACGCTTCTTAAAGTCCCGTCCTGTCATTCTGTTGGTTAAGAATCTCTAGCGGCTCCTCCTGCCAACCACGTCAAATTCAAACTTCACTCAAGCTCAGTGCAACAGGAAAACACAGGCAGTTTTGTTCTTCTGACCAATTAGTTTAGGAAAGATGGGGCCTGCCATCATTTATTCTTGTAATTTTTGTTCAAGCTAAGACTCTATGATTTTGGAAAGAGTTCAGAATATAGTATTATGTCAGTAAAGGTTACAAGCCATCTGTAGTGCATGTTTCCATCTTCCATCTTCTTTCTTTCCATCCTTCCTTTATCTCCCTTTCTTTTTGTTTTTGTTCTAGAAGTGTATATGTATAAGTATATGTATGTATTTAGTTGTTTTAAAAGTTTGGGCCAGGTGTAGTGGCTCAGGCCTGTAATCCCAGCACTTTGGGAGGCCAAGAGGGAGAATCACTTGAGACCAGAAGTTCGAGACCAGCCTGGGCAGTATGGCAAGATCCTGTCTCTACAATAAAATAAAATAAAATAAAATAAAATAAAATAAAATAAATAGCTGGGCGTAGTGGTGCACGCCTGTAGTCCAAGGTACTCGAAAGGCTGAGGTGGGAGGATTACTTGAGCCCAGGAGTTCCAGGCTGCAGTGAGCCAAGATTGTGCCACTGCACTCCAGCTTAGGTGACAGAGCAAGGCCCTGTCTCTAAAAAGAAAAAAAAAAAAAAAGTTAAAAAAAAGTTTGTAAAAACAGAGGAAATGTTAGTCATTTTCTCTGAGGGGCAGAATTTTCTTTTGATTTACCAGTATTTTCTAGTTTTTTCTTAAGTGAATATGTATTACTCCATACTAAAGTTATTAATAAAAAACTGATTTAGTTTTTCTCTCTATCAAATGAGGATTAAGACAGTATAGTATAGTATAGAAGCCTAGTGAGACATGAAAAAGTATAGAAACTGATTGACTAGAGTCAACTGACTGTGGTTTGCAGCTTCTTTAAAATTAGCTTAGGAGAGATACATACATTTCAAGGTCATTGAAAATAATCATGGCAACCTCTTTTAAGAAAGTTCAGGCTAGGCATAGTGGCTCACACCTGTAATCCCAACACTTTGGGAGGCCAAGAAGGGAATCGCTTGAGGCCAGGCATTTGAGACCAGCCTGGGCAACATAAGGAGATCTTGTCTGAAAGAAAGAGAGAGAAAGACAGAGAGAGAGAGACAGAGAGAGAGAGAGAGAGGAGGGCTAATAAAAAAGAAAGTTTTCTCTTTCTACTTTCCTGGATCTAGATTCAAATGAAACAGAAAGAACTCCAACCTGCAGCAGAAATCTGAATCTGGGGTCCTTGGATGAGCTGAATCTGGGGTCCTTGGATGAGCTGAATCTGGGGTCCTTGGATGAGCTGAATCTGGGGTCCTTGGATGAGCTCCTGAAATTATATGCTAATTTGCACATGTGCACACTTTTCAGGAGAAAATTGTTGGTTTTAAAAGAAGTTAAGAACTAAAATTTAAGACCTGCAGAGTCTTTTAGAGGATTTTGAGACAGAGCCCTTGCTTCTAGTGCTAAGGCCACTTAAATGGGACAGTTTTACAACTGAACAAGTTAAAAATGACAGTGAGGAACCAAAGTCAAGGTGCTACTTTTATACAGAAACACCCTGAAGTGCAATGTGTGACTGATTAAAAAATTACCAGAAACAAATAATACATTCAAAGTGGATGTTATCTTAAATGAAAGTTCTTTGATGATCTTGATTGGTAGATATTTGGAATTTCCTTCAGTGCTCAAGACCTGTTCATTTGAATTACTTCAATGATGGCAAATTTGGGTTGAATTTGGGTTTTATCATTTTGCCAAATGTTACCTAAAATGAATACCTGTGAATAGAGAGGTAACCAAGTTTGGGCAAATACCCATTTTAGGCTGCAAATGAGTAAAGACAAATCGCAAGATATTTCTTGGTTGATTTACTTATTTGACTTTTAAGCACTTCCAAAAACATCCTGAACAATGGTGACATCACCAGAACAAGAATGTAACTTTCAAAGGCAACTGCTTTGAAAGATAATAGTTGAATATACTTAACAAATATGGGGCTCTGTATAGGCAAACCTCCTATGCACATACTAGTTTTCATCTAATGTGCTATATATAGGCTTACTTTTTGTATTGCATCCCTTTAGACTTGTAATGCCTGTTAGCCATTATTCTTTTCATCTGAGTTAATTTCTTATTTTTCTTCTGTGAAACTGCCAGATATATCGATACAGCAAATGCTTTGGAGCAAGAAACTAAACTGGGGTTACGACGCTTTGAAGTTTGTGACAACATTGATCTTGAAACTATTTTGATGGAATATGAGAGTTATTATTTTGTAAAATTTCAGAAATACCCCAAAATTGTCAAAAAGTCATCAGACACAGGTACATGGTTATTTTCTAGAGATAAGGCTTTCTCTCATCTGTAAAATGAGTGTATCTTTCTCATCATATTCCCAGATAGATGGAGACCCTCACCTTGAACCAAAAGAGCAGGCCAGGAGGATTGTGTAGCCATTCTCATGTCCAGCACGGACAACTGAAATATGATTATCTGGACATTGACATCCCTTTAGTCATGTTGGCATTTGTTTGAGAAAATGTGTTTTCAGGCAATGAAAGCAAAACCCCAGTGTATCATAGGTACTTTTCAGATGATTAACATTACTTTAATTTCTTTAGAGATGAAAAGAGCTGTTGGAAGAGGAAAAATGACAGAAGACTTTTTTTGTTGTTAGGAGACCTATTATCTGTCTTGAAAATAACTACGAAAATGAATATTGGGGAAGCTAATAGCTCATGTATAGATAATGAAAAGCTTTTGAAAGCCATCAATCCAGATAATGATCAATATAATACAAAAACCCAGTATAGGCTAGCAGTCAACGAGGCTGGCTGGAGGAAAGATCTAAAGTGGGGGCCCTGTGCTTTGTAGTAACATTGACTGAGAAGTCTGTAAGTGGGGGAAGTAATTATAAACCAAGGGAGATCATTGTCCTGTTTACAAGGCACTTGTTAAGCCACAGACTTTAACATTTCATGTAGGGACCGGGAAACCAAGAGGAACATCAGTTTAAAATAGCCAGGGCCAGATCTCAGAGCTAGAAAAGGTCGAAGAGGTATTTTATCTGAGCTCCCTTCCAATGCAGCATTCAGAGCTTGACTTCCTTGGCAGGTGGTTAGATGTGGGTCTTGAAGAGACAGCCCAGACTCCTAACTACAGGGTGATCAGCACTGTTAGGGACATGATCTCACTTCCAGTTGGCTAGTTCCCATATAGCATGATACCCAAATTCTCCTATGATATTGGACACATTATTTTTATTTTAACTTGCAGAGCATGACTTAAGTCTTCCCTGCCAGATTCGTGCAATCAACCTGGTGTCCCATGTAACACAGCAAAATGGTGTCTAGTTCATGAAAGCATAACGAAATGGTCGTTGTAAAGCTAGCCTATATTGGAGTTGCCACCAGGTCCATAATCTCTGACACGTTTAATATCTGAGCCCTTTGCAATCTTTCTCTGTGAGGAGATGCTGGAGAAGCTCGGGCCTCTTTCTCTTCGCTGGTAATTTCAGTTCTCTCTAGATGAGAATAGCTTAAAGTCTCTAGATTCCAAAAGGTTATAGCACAAATTTTAAGAACAATGCAAAAAGGGGAAACGTACCTGAAAAAAATCACTTTGTCACTCTTAAAATTATTTTCTTTCCCACCCAATGTCTGTTTTGTCACAGCAGAAAATAATTTACCACAAAGAAGTGGAGGGAAGACCAGAAGGTAAAGTGAATGGTAATTCATCTTAATCAACTCGGCTCGAGGAGCTTGTGGGATCCCTTTCCAGAAGCTTTGCCAGCACAGCTCCGTGACTGTCTCCCAGCAATACTGACTGCAGTCACGTGACCTGGCCCAGCCCAGGACTTCTCTCATTACAGCTGCTCCAGATTTGGGCCAATGTCTGTCTACTCTCCTGGTTTTACTGTAAATAAGTGCATCCCATGATGCTCTGTCTTTCCAGGCCATGTGATATGAAAAGTCTGAACCTCAGAGGTTAAAAGACCCATGTTCAACTCCTGGCTCTGCTATTTACAAGCATGGAGCAAGTCTCGGACACATAGTGAGTTCCTGGCACACAGTGAGCACCCAAGAAATATTATTTTCCCTCTTTTCATCATTTAGTTAATTTCAAGCACTCCCAGATCAGATGTCCTCACCTGTCTGAAGATCAACCGTGAGCCAGGAGGTGCCTTACACTTCTGCCTTCGCCAGTCCTGGCCTGCGGGAACCCATTCTTCTCTTGCTTTTCCCCCCTGTTCACAGCTCATCTTGCATTCCTTTCTCCAGCTTCTCAAGTCCAAATCTCATCTGGGACTTGTAGCCTCTGATGGGAGCCCCTCTGTCTCTGGACCTTTCTGGGTACACATTTTCTCTCACAAAGCCCCCTACTCTCGCCAGTGTCCTTCCCATTCCTCTCTTCCCACTCTCACAGACCCCTCCCTCCACTGTCAGGGCTGTTCAGAAATACCCAGGGGATCAAGGGTGTTGCTGCCAGCTGCCAGTGAGCGCCAGGTGTGGGGCATCACGACCTGTGGGCTGTTGCTATTACAGTAGAGCCAAAACCTCATGGGAAGATGCAGCCATCCAGGTGTGAACAAAGTGTTTAAAATCTTAAAATGCTCTTGGAAAAAGAAAAGTTACATTGTAATCACATGCACTTATTAGGCCCTCAAGAGGTATGGATTCTGTTATGCCCCCGCTACATTCCCTGCCCCTGCGACTCCAGTTCCCTTGTTCCAGCCTCAGAAGGAAGGGCCTAGGACACCTCACAGGGCTGGTGGGCACAGCTTACAAAAATGGCCGTGGAGCCCATGCATGCTCCACGATCCGACTCGTCATAATAATCGGCCTCGGGCTACCTTCGCTTTGTGCTATTCTGTAGGAGGAGTTTTATTGCTTTGACAAAAGTGTTATTCTTTTATTTATAGTTTCCACAAAGCTAGTCAGATGCTGGTAATACATGGTAACTGCTTATGCATAGAAATCGTGAGGAGCATTTGTGGCCAGCTTCAGAAGGCTTTTGGATTCTGATTATCTTTCTGGAACCTTCTCAGCATTCTTCCCTGGCAAATGCTCTGTGAGTGAATGGTGTCAGAGTGCTTTGTTCCCTTTAGGGATGGAGCACGGTGGCACATTTGACAGCGTGGGGGCTCCTCAGCTCCTCTCTGAGTAAATGTTTGTATGTGGCAAGTGTAAAGATTGACTAGCAAATGGTTAGAATCAGGAGGAATAACTAGGAAAATAATAAATGATGTTTCTGTGGACAATTTTATACTCAAATATAGTTACTGAAGTGAGACATGTCATGAGACTGGCTATTAGCAAATCAAAGTGTCTTTTTCTAATCTTGGAAAAGATTTATAATCCCCACTTAAAGACTTGCTGATGAACCAAAGGAGGAAAGGTTATCTAACGTGATGGATGACAGAACTGGGATCCCAAAAGGTCTTGGCAATTCTGGAGATGGGTTCAAAGTAACAAGATGAAATTTAATAAAATAAGGTTTAAGCTCTAACAACAATTACAACAAATAGCTCCTCCATTATAAAATCAGAGAGCTGGAAATCTCAGTTTACCTGGGCCAACAGTGAGACACGAGTGCTACTATGGTCCCAGCCCCATCAATAGAAATACAGTGTCCAAAAAGTAGGAGGTCACACTATTCTGGAAGGTGAACAGTTTGAGGAAGAATCTGGGAGCCAGGTAACTTTAGGAATGACTGGAGCAACTGGAGATGTTGAGCTTGAACAGAGGGTTGGTGGAGGGGGGCTCCTTAGAACATTGCAGGAACAGGCTTCAGTTCATCCTCCAAAGGGCGATTGGGCCTTTTCTGCCAAATTCCACAGGGTGCACCTAGGACTAATGGTTAAAGTCAAAGCAGAGTGAATTTGGTTCCATGTTCAGAGGAATTTTACAATCTTCAGAGCTGATTGAAAATGAATTGCATTGCTTTGTACATTAGTGCTCTTGTATTTTGGTCGTGTTAAAGCAGACCTTGGGGATCAGTTGCATCCAATGGGAAATCAAAGTGGGAAAATAGAGTCCCTGTTTCCTGCCAGCTCCACAAGGATGGTGAGGCAAGTTTAAATACAGATGCACACACGCACAAACACATAAACACACACATATACTTCCACACACACATATAAATAACTTCTCTTAAGTCAATGCTATTAATATAAGTTTGCATTTGTGAAATGCTTGGTTTTCCTTTCATAGTTATTTCATTTTTGTGCCAGCAAAAGGGCAGAGAAAGACATTCTTATTCCTAGTTTAAAGATAGAAAAAGACCCCCCAAGAACTGTTAGTGTCCACCTCTCATGACGCTCTCCCCAGTGAGACCAACACTCACAGATGTGTCACCATGTGGACATTGGTGGTATTGTCGACATGGGTGGTCTTACTGGCTAAATAGCTGTGCATTTATATTAGACACGAACATTTATTATCCCCATAAAGAAAGGAAGTTGAAATAGCAGCTCTCTGAGATCATTCGGAACACGGAGAGACTTGCTTCTAACGAACCTTCTGCAAATGCATCTCACATATAGCGACAAAAGGGCTAGGAGAACTAAGAAACAATGTGGGAGTTCATATTCTGCCCCCAAAGCTAGTCCTGTCTCTCTCTGGTGGCATCTTCTACAGAAACATATGGATATTCCAATACTGAATTTTATATCTAATTATAAGAATGTAGTGAAAAAAGTGATTTGATCTTTCTATGGTTATATAACATATATACAGTCATACTACATATATAACTATGTATACAGTAAATGCATATACTCTTGTAACCACAGTTACAGCCACCGGCAGTCTACCTTTGCCCCTTCTCAGTCAAATTCTCCCCATCTCCATCAGAGTTAGCTACTCTTCTGACTTCCAGCCCCATCAGTTTGTTTTGTCTGAAGTAAACAATTGTTGATGAAAATTTGTTTGGTAAATATGATTGGTCTGGGACAACATTGATGAGAGGAAGTTTGTTTTCCTTCCATAATCCCCTTTTGATGTTTATTACTCATAACATGCTGAGATGTATTTTAAGTAGACAGGGTACATCCAGGGCACTGGATTAAAACCATGGGCCAATCCCTGAATTTCCTACTGTTTCTTAGTTTGAATGGGAGGACTCCTTTCTCTCACACACCTTTCTCCTGGTCTAATGCTGCTTTTAAGGAAGGTGGAAGGAGCAACGGAAAAATACTTGTAAAGCAATGTGTTCTTAAGAACTAAAGCTATTTGCAGAAGGGCCGAAGCTATGTGGTGTGAAAGGGAAATGAAGAGGGTGAGTTGGGGGGCTCCAGGAGGGGATCTTAGAAGAACCCCATGAGTAGCCTGGAGGGAGTTAGGGCCAGGATGAACCTGGTGGGTGGATCGCATAGGTGGAAGGGCCCTACAGTGGCCACCTGCATATCTTTCAATAGCTTTCTTAAATGTGCTATTCTTAAGAATAGGTGTTTAACTACCTCAAATTAAGTGGCTAGAATAATTTCTTCCAAGGTCTTTGTTCCCTCCCTTAGGGTGATGAACGACAGTTGCCAAAATCTTCCCAAGATCAATCAGCAGAGGCCCCGGTCCAAAACCACGGTGGGGAAGACAGGGGACACCAAATCTCTCAATAAGGAGCATCCTAATCAGGTCAGGATGGCTTGGCTTGACTTTGTGAATAGCACAGTTGGCTGAAAAATAGCCCTACGAAAAAAGTCACATTTATTTACTTTTTGAGGACCTACGCTTTTAAAATTGCTGTGTGATCTAATTGAATTGTAGGTTTTCTTCCAGTACACTGGACTCAAACCATGGACAGATCCCTGGATTTCCTAATGTTTCTGAACATGGGTGGGAGACTTTTTTCTCCCCCAAGTCTTTCCCCTGATCTGGGTGCTGGGCGATGGGCCAGGGTGGGGCCAGGGCCCAGTCAGAGCAGGAGGGCCTGGTTACTGTGGAGCTTGATCTTCCCATCTGAGGTAACTGTTACCTGAGGTAACTGAGCTAACCAAGATGGCAGATCTTCTTGTCCCAGAGCACATTGCTGGGTTCCTAAGTGTAGGCCAGGCATAGCCTACGCTACACTTCAGGTGTGGCTGGGTCTGAAGGTCTCCTACTGGACTTCTCCAAATCGCACATGATCAGCCCTCACCCCAGACCTTCACCTTGGACTTTCTGGAGGCCAAGAAGGGCAGCAAGGAGAGAACCCAGCAAGTGAGTGAAGTAAATGGCTCCTGACTCACGAGACTCATATCCAGAACCTTCTTAGTTAGGACAAAACATCCCAGGTTTCAAAGGAAAGAGGACCAATGGAAACTGAGAAAAGGAATTTAAAAAATTAATGTCAAATAATGGAAAGGAATAATCACAATACCCAATTGGTCAAAAGGATTCTCTCTGCCTCTCTACAGTTCTGGCCGCTACAGCCTGATTCAGGTGGAAGAGAGGTGAAGATGGGGCAGGATGAGTCCCATGGGAGGCTGGTTGACTCTGCTGTATCTCCAAACTCAGTCACTCCTGGCCAAAAACACCCCTGATCACAGGAGAAAAGACGAGCCAGCAAAAGGGGATGGGTTGAGGCACAACTGTTTCCTCCATTTGGAAAAGCTGCTCAGGGCCCATGGCCTGGCATCTTCTCGGTCTTCCAGGGACAACTCCTTCCACATAGTGCAGGCAGACAGCTAACTCATCTTCCTGGGTCTGCACAAAAGTGGCTAAACTACATGTGCACGTCGCATTTACAGAATTGCTCTCCAGCATTGGACTTTGCATGATGGAGTGGGCAGGTACAACCAGCATCTCTCCATGGCTGCTCACAGCCAAATGTGTCCTTGTCTCTCTTTCTTCAGGAGGTAGTTAATAACACTCGCCTGGAGAGTGCCAACTTCGGCCTAAATATATCAAGAATCGGTAAAGACAGTGGAGAGGAAAATGCCCACCCACGAAGAGTAAGTGAAACTCAAGAACCTAACACTGAAAGGGGTAATTTCTTTTTCCTTTTAAACATGAAAACAAAAAAACATTATTTTTGTCAAACAGGAAAGTTAAGATGTGATTTTTGAAGGTTGGTTGTGAGGTAAATGGAGAAGAGGGTCAGAAAATGGGTTCTTCTTTGGAATCTCCTTTCTGAATGAATGGGCTGGCATGAACTGCCCCATCTCTAAGGAACTCAGTTTCCACATTTGTAAATTGAGGGGCTCGGAAGAGATTGTCTCTAGTGTTCCCATCAGCTTAAAAATTCTGTAATAACAACGATAAACATTGGCATGATCATCCTGCATTGTTCTTATCATTTATTTATTTTAAGAGACAGGGCTTGCTCTGTCACCCAGGATGGAGTGCAATGGTGCAATCACGGCTTACTGCAGCCTAGAACTCCTGGGCTCAACGAATCCTCTTGCCTCAGCCTCCCAAGTAGCTAGTACTACAGGCATACACCACAACATCTAGCTAATGTTTTTAATTCGTCTAGAGATGGGCTCTCACTATGTTACCCAGGCTGGTTTCAAACTTCTAGCCTCAAGCAATGAAGGGGTGGCCTGCCCCTCCACACCTGTGGGTGTTTCTCCTTAGGTGGAATGAGAGACTTGAGAAAAGAAATAAGACACAGAGACAAAGTATAGAGAAAGAAAAGCAGGGGCCCAGGGGACCGGCGCTCAGCTTACAGAGGACCCACGCCGGCACCGGTCTCTGAGTTCCCTTAGTATTTATTGATAATTATCTTTACCATCTTAAAGATAAGGGAGTGGCAGGACAATAGGATCATTGTAGGGAGGAAAGACAGTAAGACATATGAACAAAAATCTCTGTGACATGAATAAGTTTAAAGGAAAATGCTGTGCCTTGAGATGCATTTGCAAACATCTCCATAAACCTTTTAGCATTATTGTTTCAGTCTATCACATGGGGAGAAACCTTGGACAATACCTAGCTTTCCTAGGCAGAGGTCCCTGTGACCTTTGGCCGTGTACGTGTCCCTGGGTAGTTGAAATTAAGAGAATGGTGATGACTTTTAACCAGCAAGCTGCCTTCAGGCACTTCTTTAACAAAGACACATCCTGCACAGCTCAAAATCCATTAAACCTTGAGTCACCGCAGCACATGTCTCTTGCAAGGACAAGGTTGGGGGTAGGGTCACAGATTAACAGTATCTCAAATACAGAACAAAATGGAGTCTCTTATGTCTACTTCTTTCTATATAGACACAGTAACAGGCTGATCTCTCTTTCTTTTCCCCACAAGCAATCCTCCTGTCTGGACCTCCCAAAGCGCTAAGACATCTGCGTTATTTAGTGAGTTGGAAACACATACTCATTCTGCTCTGCCCTGTCCTTGGCATTCGATTAGTGGTGTCATCTTTCTCCTTGGAGGGATGGCTCCTGATCGAAACGTAATTTCATGTGGACCATGAAACCTCAGTTGATATAGGGTTGATTTTGTCCTTGATAGATATTTCTACCTTTTTCATAATGAATCTCATGTCTGGATTTTAAATAATAACGTCTTAAGCAGAAAAGACCCAGATTGGGTGGATGTAGTCAAAAGGTAGATTAAAATATGTAATTTAGAAATGAACAGCACCATATTGCTCTTGGTCATACTCTCCAAGGTTGTAGTTCTTTAAGCTTCTTCTTTCTTTCTTCAGCCAAGTGCTCAAACCTCTGGAGTGCTGACTTAGTTCCGGCCAGCTCTTAGAAAAACTGAACTCTGTGTGTGAATTTGGAGGGGTGACTGGAGCATCTCCCTGAAAATGAAGGGCAGTGACCTCACTGGCCTGAACTGACTCCCTGTAAGGGCCTCACTTACATGGTAATTGCTGGAGATGATATCATGGGAATCAACGCCTCCCTTGGAAAAATGTCTCCTTGTTCACCTTCACTGCTTCTGTTGTGTTTTCAGTCACTTTGCCTAGCTATTTTGTGGCAACATTGAAATGAATGGATGTTTTTGATTGGCTCACAAGGAAGGGACCATTTAACCCAGCACTTAACCTTTGAAGTAGTCTGACTATAAATCCTCTTACCAGCAGAAATGTCCTAGGGGCACAATGTAGATGGCTTTCTCCCTAGCATTTCATATGTCCATAGGTTGCCTGAGGGTATATGGCCTGGGGCCAATCTCAGAAAACCCCAGGTCTGTCATTTCCATGTTAGTACCTGTGTTTTTCTGTTTTGCATTGCTGTAAAGGAATACCTGAGGCTGAGTAGTTTATAAAGAAGAGAGATTTATTTGACTCATAGTTCTATTCGGCACTGGGATCTGCTCAGCTTCTGTTGAGGCCTCAGGAAGCTTTTACTCATGGCGGAAGGCAAGGGGACCTGGCATGTCACATGGCAAGAGAGGGAACAAGAAGGGAGGGAGATGACCGGCTCTTTTAAACAACCAGGTCCCTCGTGAACTAATAGAGCGAGAACTCACTAGTTACAGTGGTTAGAGCACCAAGCCTTTCATGAGAGTTCTTCCCCAATGACCCAAACACCTCCCACCAGGCCCACCTCCAACACTGGGGATCACATTTCAATATGAGATTTGGAGGGGGCACACATCCTTACTATATCAGAATCCAAGCTTTAGGACACTCTCCCTACAAATTTAGTAGGTATGTTGTTCTTGAGGGCATAAGCTTCAGAGTCAGCCTGTCTAGATTCAAAATCCAGCTCAGATGCTCCCTTAGATGCACTCCCCACTTTGTAACTTTGGGCAAATTGTTTTATAATCTCTCCAAGCCTCATTTCTCTCAGCTGTAAGATGGAAATAATCGCAGTGCCCACTGTAAGTCTCATGATGAAAGGAGAGACTTGGCACAGTGCCTAGCACATAATAAACACTCCATAAATGTTAACTACTATTATTGTTTTATTTTTTGGTGCATCCTTGCTTTTTCCTTCCTACCTCTAGGGGGGACAAGGTGATATTGGAAGGATCGTGGGTTGGGAGACAGATTAAGTGAGTTTAAATCCTGGCCTTAAGCCATTTATTAGCGCTGTGGCTCTGGGCAAATCACTTAACCTCTCTGGACTTACTCTCACATCTATGAAGCCAGGATGTCACTCCTGACTAACAGAAGTGTTATAAGAATTAGAAATAGGCTGGGTATGCTGGCTCACACATGTAATCCCAGCCCTTTGGGAGGCTAAGGTGGGAGGGTAATTTGAGGTCAGGAGTTGGAAACCAGCCTGGGCAACATAACAGGACCCCATTTTTAAAAAAAAAAAGTAATAGTAATAATTAAAAATTAGCCAAGAGTAGTGGCGCACACCTGTAGTCCCAGCTCTTCGGGAGGCTGAGGTGGGAGGATCCCTTGAGCCCAGAAGTTTAAGGCTGCAGTGAGCTCTGATTATGCCACTGCATGATGGAGTGAGATCCTGTCTGTCTCTTAAAGGAAAAAAAAAAAAAAAGGATTAGAAATAATCCTCACAGGATATGGAGAAAAGGGAACTCATACATTGTTGGTGGAAATTAAATTAATTCCACTTATACCCAATAAATTTATACAAATTATATACAAAAATAACAAAAAGGAAATAGTTCTCACAAAGAACCTTGCACACTTATTTTGTACAGCACTCTATTGAGTGGTGAACGTGTATCACAATTCATAGACAGGAACTCTCATTACTGTTGTGCCAATGAGTTGTTTCTGCGTGTGTAATATTTGAATAGGATAAGACCATACAGGGGAAGTTAACACATAAGGAAGGAAGCAGATGGTCTGTGTCAGGAACTGAGAAATACTCATGAATTTTTATTCAAATCCACTTCATTCTGGAAAATGTACTTACAATTTTTTAAGGTGCTCCAACTTGAGGAAATCATCATGTTTAATGCTAGTGCTGGTTCTTTTTAAAGCTTCACTTGAAGTTTGCCCTAATACCAGGGTATATAAATGTGTCTTGGTTTAATGAAACTGAGTTATTAAGAAGAGTCTTCTCTTATGTTCTCATGGCATAAATAACCTTTTCTCCCTTTCAGGGCCAAATCGTTGACTTCCGAGGGCTGCTCACAGACGCCATCAAGGGAGCGACCAGTGAACTTGCCTTGAACACCTTCGACCATAATCCAGACCCCTCAGTAAGTGGCGAAGATGTGACATTCATCTTTCAAATTGCCAACATCCAGATGAACTCTGGAAATATAATTTTGAGTACAGTGAAACCTTGAGATCAAGTCAAAGGCCGTAGCCACCTGCCATCGTTTGTTTCACCAAGACCTGTGCGTGCCCAGGGTTTCTTCCTAAATTATGAAGCAATATTGTCATGTGAGCCTTTCCACTCCTCTCATCAGGAACGACTGCTGAAACCTCTGAGTGCATTTATTGGCATGAACAGTGAGATGCGAGAATTGGCAGCGGTGGTGAGCCGGGTAAGATCTGATATTCAATTCACAAATTTACGGAGGCGGGCTGGGGCTTGTGGAGCTTTGTGGGCTGCTTCTTTTATTAATAACAATAAATATGATAATTTATTTATAAAGTGCCCCCACTTGCGAAGGCACTCATATTGTTTAGAGGCACAATAATGCATGATAAATAAATTATAGAATCATAAAATTACAATATAAAAAGCCCACCATCTCATGATAGAGGCCAAGAAAACCGAGAGAGAAAAAGACTTAGGAATGAAGGGACAGGTGAAAGGTTTAATAGCAGAGCCAAGAGTCAAGGAAAGAAAGCCTCTTAAAGAAGAAAAAAGTATGTCTGCATCTGGTTTAAAAAGTCAGAGCCTAGAAATAGAGATGTCGGAAGTCTGATGATATCATCATTGAAAATCTCCATGAAAAACACAATTAGCAGGAAAGACTTTACCATCCAGACTACGGACTTTTCCAGCTTGCACTATGGAACCAGAAGGCAGTGAAGAATGGGCTTTGGAATTAACCGACCTGCCTTTGATTTCTAGATCCTTCTCTTGCTAGCTGTGTGACGTTGGGCAAGTTCCTAGAAAATAAAATAGACCCCTGAGTTATAGGATATTTTTCTAATTTCTAATGCTTCATATTTAATTGAAGACTGAAACCTAGGCAGGCTCAGAGGGGTGTTTAAAATGATCCCAAAAATTCACAGCTCCTCTGAAAAGCTAAGGGCTCCTGAGCTGTCTCTGTTCAGTTCAGCAGTTGTTTCCTATACGCCTCTTATGTGTCAGGTATGTGCTGCGGGCTGGAGACACAAAGGTGAATGAGTCAGAGCACAGTCCTTGCCCTCACGAGTTTCTCGTCCCAGCGGCAAGGTGCACTTTGAGAGCATGAAGGAGGGAGGGGTGGGGAAAGTGTTAGGAAAGAAGATAGGAAATCGCTAAGGGAAAAAGTGAAAGAGGGAGGCTAGGAGCTATTCTGGGCATAGGCACATCCATGATAAATTGCAGGTTGTGCACACTTCCCATGGGCCACCTAAGAAGCAGGGAGTGGTGGGGAACCGGTAGAGAGAGGCAGGGCTCCTGAGGAAGGGTGCAATGAGCAGTACCCGGGGCTGAAAACACGCCTATAGAAGAGGGGACGTTAGAAAGGCATCCATCAGAGGATGGGATCATCCCATGTGCTTGTGGATGGCTTGTTCTATGACAGGGAGGTAAATGAATAGCAAAGAAAAGGAGATGGGGTGACCATCTATGAGGTTTTTACCAGTGAGAGGGGATGAGGGACTGAGCCAGGCTGCAATAACCCCAAATTAGTAGTCTCATTACCATTTTTGCAAAAGGGTAACATGACTATGAGGCTAGACCTATAGAGTGGAAGTGGCCTGAATGATTCCATCTGGAATCCTTTTTATAGTAGCATGGGAGGTAGAAACCCTGCTCCTGCCTGAATGCTTACAGTGACAGAGAGCTCACCACCTCATGACGTAGTCCTGTTGAATTCTGACTGATAACTTTGGATTGATATAAGGAGAAACTGTCAGTTGGGAAATTAAACATTACCTTGTGGAACTCAACTCTAGAAGAGGGCAAGAAATACTGCTGTTATCTGTGGATGCCTTGAATACCTAGGTAAATGAATTTTCCTTGTGTTCCAAAATTTCCCTAAGAAAGGACGGTAATAAGAATGTGAATGGCTGGTGGATCTGCATGTAGATCCAGGCTCTAAAGACAGAGTAAGAAAGACTGAGTCCTTTCACTATCATTCCATCCAATAATGGATTATACATATCATGCATGACCAAAGCACTTGTATAAATACTTTCTCTAGACAAGTTGCAGTAGCTGGCACCTATAATCCTAGCACTTTGGGAGACTCAGGCGGGTAGATCACTTGAGGTCAGGAGTTTGAGACCAGCCTGGCCAACATGGCAAAAACCCATCTCTACTGAAAATACAGAACATTAGCTGGGCATGGTGGCGCTTGCTGGTAGTCCTAGCTACCTGGGAGGCCGAGGCATGAGAATTGCTTGAACCTGGGAGGCAGAGGTTGCTGCACTGTAGCCTGGATGACAGAGCGAGAATCCATCTCAGAAAAAACAAACAAACAAACCAACCAACAAGAAATTTCTCTAATAAAAGTGAAAGTTGGCTGGGTGCAGTGGCTCACACCTGTAATCTCCTGTAACACTTTGGGAGGCCGAGGCAGAAGGATCACCAGTCCTTGCCCTCAAGAGTTTCTCATCCCAGGGGCAAGGTGCACTTTGAGAACATGAAGGAGGGAGGGGTGGGGAAAGTGTTAGTAAAGAAGATAGGAAATCGCTAAGGGAAAAAGTGGAAGTTTGGATTATCTCCATAATCCAAACATAAAGTGGAATGACATTATTGGACTTGATGCAGCCAAGCAGTTAGTCAAAGAAGCTGTTGTGTTGAGGCTGAGGTGGGAGGATTACTTGAGCCCGGTAGGTTGAGGCTGCAGTGAGTGGTGATCATGCCACTGCCCTCCCGCCTGGGCTACAGAACGAGACCCTGTTTGAAGAAAAATTAAAAATAAAAATGAACTTCCTATGGTGGAGGGAACTGGATGGGTGGGGAGCTGGAGTAGGCACAAACATCTCACCAGCATTTAAAAAATGTATTTGTATTTTTGGACCATGAGCACATATTACTTATTTAAAATTACATAAATATAAGAATAGATTCAGATTTTTTTCTGTAGTCACTCAGAATGACTTTGGAAAGAAGGTTTTTTGGGCTTTTTTTGATGAAACACTCTAGATATTCAGTTTGCCTGAAACAGCTCCTACTGAGAAAGGCCCCTTAGTGACTGCTCTGAGGCATCTGGTGAAATTGAAGTTTGGAAACTGTAAATTAGTTATCAGTAAAAGCTACCTTAATTGATTACCCTAGATGGTTGCTACAGGGCTCTACTATAAGAGGGGAAAAACTGCAGTTTCACCCAGTTGTTGGCTTCCTTGAATTTTGTAGAAGCAATTGCTCCTGCTGGAAGTAGGGAATGATTGCTAGGGAAAAAAAAGAAATTGGTTTCAGAGGAGCATTATCTCTTTTATACGACAAATTAAGAAAGTGTTTGTGAGATCAAGGAACAAGAACAAGGCCAGGCACTGGCTAGGAACTATGTTGCACAGTAAAACCTAATGTAAGTTGAAGGCATATTCTGTAGCTTCTTTAATTATGGTTATAAATCGGTATGGTTTGCTATTGACTGAAAACAGGTAGAGTCCATTGTTAGGATATTTTTTTTTTCTCCCTGAAAAGTACCATACTGTGTTATCAATGTCTTCCTCAGGGAAAATCATTGAATATTTTCACGGCATGCCTTTGGTGAACTAACCCAAAATTACAAAGTATATATGTGTGTGTGTGTGTGTGTGTGTGTGTATATAACATATGAACAGTTTTTATCACCAGCACTTTATATCCTATTGTAAGTCAAGTATTCTGCTGCTCCCAAGTTTATTACAGCTGTAGAGGACAACATCAGTTTTAACAAAATGATCAAATGTGCATTGCAGGACATTTATCTCCATAATCCAAACATAAAGTGGAATGACATTATTGGACTTGATGCAGCCAAGCAGTTAGTCAAAGAAGCTGTTGTGTATCCTATAAGGGTAAGGACGGGAAGCCTCTTGGGGGTTATTTCTGTTCACTATCATTGCACAAGCTGTATGTCACACACCTATCAGAAAGGGAAGGGCAGGATGATTTTCTGTCCACACGTTAACATTTTGCTTGTGTCACAACACTTTCTCAACCCTGGAGCACCAAAGCGTGGTCCATTCTAGATCATTTAAAATCATGTTACATATTAGTTCAAGACAGGCGTCTGAGCTAAGTGAAACTTTAAGATCTAAGACTATAGTATACATAATTTGTCAGATTGATTCAAATTAGCCTGCTTCCTTAAAAATATTCTTATTGTTGCAGAAATACCTCTAGTAGGGGAGAATCTCTCACTTTGTTTCCACAGATCCTTCCTTTACACTCCCCCCCTCCACCTACCCTCCCCAGGATCATCTGGGGCTTTGCTTCTGGCTGGTTGTGAAGACTGAACAGCCCCTTCCAGGGCAGTGACCAGCAAAGCTAGCCTGTTGTGCTCATTACTTATTACTGACAAATCTCTGTGCAGTTTACAAACTGGGTAGAAAAATAGAAAAACAATACTCTCCATGTTTGATTTACAAATGGGGTGATGAAGAGGTAAGTGAAAACTTAGCTTTTGTTGTATAACAGACCACCCCGCAACTTAGTGCCTTAAGACAACAATTTATTTGTTTGTAATTCTGTGGGTAGGCAGTTGGAGCTGGGCTCAGCTGGGCTGGCTCATCTCTTTGTGGTATTCTTGACTGGGCTCAATCACAGGTCTGAGCCATCAGCCAGAGTAGCAGAAAAGATGGAGAGACTGAAAAGGCTGGGACAAGCAGTACAGCCAAGGTGTCTCTCCATGTGACCTCTCATCCTCTAGCAGGAAAGCCCAGTCCTGTTCACAGGGTGGCAGTGGGTTCCCAGAAAGAGGCAAGAAAGGGAAAGTTCTAATTCACAAGATCTTTCATGCCTCGTATATTTTTCTGCTAGTCTTATATTTTCAAATCTCTTACATTTGCTAATGTCCCACTGGCCAAAGTCACAAGACCAGGCCCAGATTCAAATGTTGGAGAAATAGGCTCCACTCCTTGATGAAAGGAACTACAAATAATTTATGGCCATTTTCTGTAATATCCTGCTGTCAGGATTCTGACTTTATTTTATTGAATAACCTATTTAGTCTTACCACTGAGCCCATGTGGCCCCTGATTTTTGAATGCTTTCCTCTAATGAGACAAAAATCAATACATTTGGATTCTCTTTTCCCCCTCTTTCTTTCTGTGTTCAGACTTAGTAGTAAGAAATACACTGGTGTTTAGAATTAATAGAAGTTTACTCACCTTTTCCTCTAAGTAGAACTATAGCATAAAACTTTTAAAAAGGATAGAACATCTCATTGAAATTCCCTGGATTTGTTCTCTCCATGGCATTACAAGCTCCAAATGCGTTGAGATTTGACGTCAGGATTAGCAAGAAACTAATAGCTAGTTGTAATTTTACTAATATTCCTTGCCACACCCCTCTCCCCCATTCTTTACCAACCCTTGCCACCTACCTTCCCTAGATTGTTTGAATTTGAACTAATAGGTGAGACTTCCTTGAAGGCTACGCATGTCCTGTTCAGAGTTGGTGTCTCTTAATGCGTTTGCCCTGAATATTCCCAACTTCCAAAACAGGTTTCACCATAGATCTGTACTTTATTCAAATAAACCTTTACTAATTGGTTCTAGTATGTATTTTAAAGTTCATACCTGCTTTACAACATTCAAAAGATTGCCAAATGCTCTCCATATAGAAGTTTGGGGAAAACGATGTTATGCATGTAAGAGATAACTGTTTAACAGAGAGGAAGAGTACCTACATATACCTTTCCTTTCCTTAAAAAATTGCTCTTTTAAAAAGTCACAAAAATTAAGTCAGGCATTCTAATCGAGCGTGAAAATAAAATTGGGGTGAATAAGATCTGTTTATTTAGGTCAGAAGCAGACGACCTTAAGCAAAAAAAGGAGACCTGAATCTCACTCCAGCTTTCCTGGCTCGTCTGTGCTGAGAGTATGCAGGCTGATGTGTCAGCACCAAACCTCATCCTTGTTCCTTGTTTCCATAGTATCCACAGCTATTTACAGGAATTCTTTCCCCCTGGAAAGGACTACTGCTGTACGGCCCTCCAGGTAAACACAGCGTCCTATTTTGATGTTGGTGTTAAGTGTGTGTGCAGAGGATGAGTTGTCCCTTCTGTCCTCACTTCAGGACCGGGGCACATGAGAGCTGAGCAGTCACTTCCTTCCTTATGTGTGAAACTGACTTCTGTCTATAAGCAGGGGGATGATGGAGTTGAAATGCCTGCTCATCTTTTACGTGTCTCTCTTTAGGTACAGGAAAGACTTTACTGGCCAAAGCTGTGGCCACTGAATGTAAAACAACCTTCTTTAACATTTCTGCATCCACCATTGTCAGCAAATGGAGAGGGGATTCAGAAAAACTCGTTCGGGTAGGAATTCTTAATTTTGTTTTTAAAAATAAGTTCTAGTGTAATACGGTGGTACAAAATGATGTCAGAGCTTCTTTGCTTTTAGGTGATTTTATGTTAGATTCAATCCTGGATCTTGATTACCAGTAGCTTGGGAAATGGATTGACTATTATGTGTGGAAGTTAATTGTGCCCCCATCAGCAAAACATGATCTCCCTTCCTTTGGGAATTTGATCAACAGCTCTTTTTTGATTCATGCAATTTAGGCATGAAGGCTGGGGAAAAAAATCTCTGACTTGGCATATTTTTTCTTCATTCAAGAAGCATTTATTATTTAACATGTACACTATATTTGGTTAACATTTATTGAGAGGCTACTACTGTATGTTAGTCCCTATGCTAGATACTCTAAGAAAGAATCAAGAAATTTTAACCTTCATTATTCTTTCAGATGTTCTGAGCACCTTTGCTTCCATAGTGCCCATAGCCTGTAAGATTTTTTGCTTTCTTTTTTTTTTTTTTTTTTTTTTCAGACAAAGTCTTGCTCTTGTCCCCCAGGCTAGAGTGCAATGGTGCCATCTCGGCTCACTGCAACCTCTGCCTTCCGGGTTCAAGCGATTCTCCTGCCTCAGCCTCCCAAGTAGCTGGGATTATAGGTGCCTGCCACCATGCCCAGCTAATTTTTTTTTTGTATTTTTAGTAGAGACAGGGTTTCACCATGTTGGCCAGGCTGGTCTCAAACTCCTGACCTCAGGTGATCCGCCCACCTCAGCCTCCCAAAGTGCTGGGATTACAGGCATGAGCCACTGCGCCCAGCAATTTTTTGTTTTCTTTCAGAGGTTGTTTCCATCTTTACAATATCACATTTATAGTTGATGTTATATTTTATATTATAAAATTGTACTGAATCTTCCAGTGACATTAAGAACACTTCCATTTATGGTTTAGGTCCTAGTGTAAGAAAGGTCCTTCTTTGAAAACCTGTTAAACTATCACACTCTGTAGAATGGCAGATATGTACTCAATATAAGTGAATATAAAATATTACATATTTTCTGAAAAGTGATTAACAAGTTATGCTTAAATTACATTCCCTTAGATGACTCTTTCAAAATATGATGGCCTATTTGGAAATCATAATAGAATATGTTTAAAGGATTGACTTACCTAAAATAACCTATTATCTATTACATTGATATCATTTTCAAGTTGCTACAAATATGTAAGCTTATATAAATTCTTGTTTCCCATTCAAGATGGTAATTTGTGGAAACCTACGTTGATATCTTCTATTTCTTTGTTCTTCATCTTGCGTATAACTCAGTGCCAGTTCCGAAGTGGGGCTTGAATTTAGCTACACTTGCAGTTATGGCTCCATGTGATTTTAGTTAGCTGGAGGTTCAGTTATGGTTGGCCCTTGAACAACAGTTGGCCCTTCAACTGCATGGGTCTACTTATATGGGGAATTTTTTTCAACAAAATGCAGTATTCACAGGATGCAAAACCCGAGTATATGTGGGTTTCCCAGGATAGACTGTGGGACTCCCCAGTAGCTGAGACTATAGACACACACCATCAAGCCCAGCTAATTTCTGTATTTTTTGTAGAAACCAGGTTTCACCATGTTGCCCAGGCTCCTCTTGAACTCTTGGGCTCAAGCAATCCTCCTGCCTCGGGCTCCCAAAATGCTAGAATTACAGGCATGAGCCACCATGCCTAGCTTCTCCCTGCCTTTCTAAATACAAGTAGGAACATCCTATATGTTCTATATGTTCCCTTTTGTACCTGGCTTTTCCCCAAGTTAATATGCACAGATTTTGGTACAGGGAAGCGTGTCGGGAGGAACAGGGAGAGGATCTGCAACCAATCTCTTCCATATGCCTAGAGATGACTGTAGCTGAAATTCATCTAACTAGAATTCTTATCACCCTGAAGTCTTTTTTTTTTTTTAACATGTCATTTCTATATGCTGAATAACAACAAACTCTTAAAAGATACCACTCAGAATTAGTTTAGGTTCATCTTCTGTCATGAAAAGTGGTGTTTAGAACCACAAGCACAAGACACTGCAAGGTGCACGAAGGAGGATGACATACTCTCAGGACAGGACTTACCTAAGCAGAAGAAGAAACTCAAAAAGTTTATAGTATTCCTAACAAAGACTGAAGTTACATGAATTTTCTGGTTTAATGTCGAATAACCAGAAAAGTCAATTAACAAGAATTCTCCATCCCGTGTGAGCATTGTATTCACTTAAAGTTTTCCTCTGGTTCAGTATTATTTTGTTAGGATTCTAAGAGTGAAGAAAAATTCCGGTGGAGTGGGAGCAAAAAAAATAAATTTAAAAAAAAGGAGTGAGGAAACAATTCCTCTCCCAATTCCTTCCTTCTTACCTGCCTTTCTCTCTCTTTCTTTTTTTCTTTCTTTCTCTTTCTCTCTCTCTTTCTTTTTCTTTCTTTTTTCTTTTTTCTTTTTCTTTCCTTCTTTCCTTCTTTCTTTCTTTCTCTTTCTTCTTTCTTTCTCTCTCTTTGTCTTTCTTTCTTTCCCTCCCTCCCTCCCTCCCTCTCTCTCTCTTTCTCTCTTTCTTTCTTTCTTTCTTTCTTTCTTTCTTTCTTTCTTTCTTTCTTTCTTTCTTTCTTTCTTTCTTTCTTTCTTTCTTTCTTTCTTTCTTTCTTTCTTTCTTCTTGTCTTGCTCAGTCGCTCAGGCTGGAGTGCAGTGGTGCATCCTCGGCTAACTGCAACCTCTGTCTCCTGGGTTCAAGCGATTCTCCTACCTCAGCCTCCCGAGTAGCTGGGACTATACACACCCCCACCACGCCTGGCTTTTTTGTATTTTTAGTAGAGATAGGGTTTCATCATATTAGCCAGGCTGGTCTCAAACTCCTGACCTTGTGATCTGCCCACCTCGGCCTCCCAAAGTGCTGGGATTACAGGCGTGACCACCACGCTCGGCCTCTTCCTTTCTTTTACTATATATTTTTAAAGTAACTAGCCTTAAAAAAAAAAAAAAAAAAAAAGAGTATAAGAGGATGTACAGACTCCTCAGCCCTCTCCCCAGAGGCAACTACTATTAACAGTTGCTAGAGCAGCCCTGCAGAACATTTATCTATTATCTACATTAACATCAACAGCTGTTTCTTTTGGGTGTTCTGTTTTGTTTTGAGGCAGTGTCTTGCTCTGTCACCAAGGCACGAAAGCCAAAGTGCAGTGACATTATCAGAGCTGACTGCAGCCTCGACCTCCTGGGCTCAAGTAATCTTCCCACCTCAGCCTCCCCAGTAGCTGAGACTATAGGTGCACACCACCAAGCCCAGCTAATTTTTGTATTTTTTGTGGAAACCAGGTTTCACCATGTGGCCCAGGCTCCTCTTGAACTCTTGGGCTCAAGAAATCCTCCCACCTCGGGCTCCCAAAATGCTGGGATTACAGGCATAAGCCACCATGCCTAGCTTCTCCCTGCCTTTCTAAATGCAAGTAGGAACATACTCTGTATTTCCTTTTGTACCCAGTTTTTCCCCAACTTAATATATATAACTTGGATATTGTTCCACACTATTATAGATAAGGCATGTTCTTTTATGTCTATATGGTAGTTCGTTGCATAAATGTACCAAAATGTATTTAACCAGTCTTTTCTTGATGGGCCTTTAGGTTGTTTCTAGTCTCTTGCTCTTGTGAACAAAGCTAGAGTGGGCAGTCTTGTATGTACACATGTTTTTGCCTATATAGTGTAGGACAATTTCTATGAAGTAGAATCGCCAAGTCAAAGGGAACAGACATCGCCGACTGCCAGATTGCTTTTGCCAACAGGGTTGTACCCTCTTAGAGTCCCATCAATGCTTCCTGAGTGCATTTGCTTCTCCACACCCTGACCAACACACCAGTATCTTTTACAAAATAAACATTTGTCAATCTAATAGTAAAAAGTAATAGTGTATTTCAGTGATTAAACGTGCATTTCAATATTTCAGTGCTTGAATGTGTATTTCTTTGATTCTGAATGAACTTGAACAACTTTTGAAAGTTTTAGAAAATATTTATATCTTTTTGTGACATGCATTTTTATTTTGGATAATTTAAAAAATAATGCAAGAAGAAACAGATAACCTCTGCTAACCTCAAAGGAGTTCATCTCATTTCCTTTCAGAAATTACATCATTTTCTCTTTATTTTTCGAGCTTTTGGGAAGATCCTCAGCTGGACAATCTTTGTCATGCTGTCAGGCTCCTTACTGTGAAGCTTTCAAAGAAAGCAAACCCTTCAGGACCTTCCCCTAAAGCAGAGAAGCTTTTTCTACCATTATTTCTCTTTCTATTCCAATTAAAGAGTTATTTATAGGGAACCATTGGGTTATGTTCCTCCCTCCCCTACTAATGTTCATGCCTTTTAGGAGCTGATCGCTACTGAATAGTTGAGTGGTCTCTTTAGCAAATGCATACATCTGTTGATGCTTACATCTTTCAATGCACCGCCCCCCAGTTGTATGATTTAACTTCCTCCAGGTTCCTCTGAAAATTTTAGACTAATGCTTCCAGAAACACTTACCCATGATTCTGTATATTCCCTGCAAGTGGAATGAGCAATGCAGTGGGCAGTATGAATGCCTAGACTCCAGGCGTGGTTCTCCTTCCAACTGGGTGTGTGGTCTAGCAGAGGTTCTTGGTCTCTTTTCTGCCTTTAGTGAGCACCTTAAAAACATGTATGGGTTTTATATTCTAATATTTCATTTTTCATTGGGTAGACTGCCACTGTTGTAGTCACCCTTAATATCAGGTATATTTGGGCTTCTTTGTGTGTCTGTGACAAGGACAGAAAGTTATTTGCCCTGAATTAGGTGGTCTCCATTGTATCTGGAAGGCATTGTGATGAATGCCCTGGCATTGCCATTGTTCTCTCAGTTCATTAAACTCAGTCAATTCTGTAAAAGGGAGACGCTGGTGCATGCGCTTGAATGTACCCATGAGCAGTGGGGAAGGTGAGGTATTTCCCATTCGGTGACAGGGAGACCTGTAAGGGATGAGCTGCTGCTGCTCATGAAAACCACAACCTGACTTTTTCAGAACCCTTTCCCTCTGATTCTGTGATGGTTTGCTAGTGCTAAGTGACATGGAGAATAAATCCCCCATGCCTATTAAAGAATTTCTATTCTTTTCTAAATCTCCACTGTTTTTTCCCATCAACCGGTGAAGGATTGTATATGATGCTCAAGAGATCAGTTTCAGGGTTTAAAAAAAAAAAGTTTAGGTTGTTATATTCTATTCATCACCACCACATCTCCCTTTAGAGCTCTTTATTTTGTTTTTATATGTCTGTTCTTTTGCTGGTTGCTTTCCTGTTCTTGTTCAGTCTATAATATTTTATTTTATTCTCAAATAGAACATCGTATTCAGTTGAGAATTGCCTTCTAGTACCTAAGCCTACCAAGCAGCCTTGTTGAGGTAGTGTGGGAAGGCTATGGAGTAATTTGAGGAACACAAAGGGGCTAAATTTGTCAGCCTTGTTACCCATGACAGGAACTCAATCCTTCCCCTGAAATATTTTCTTCTGAGAATAACCTCCCATTGTTCCCAAAGATTAAGGGAAGAATTATCAAATGATTATACATGTTCCAAGGCTCTTGTGTCCACATGGAACATATTATTGGTAGGGTGTTTCAGGGGTTAACTAGCCGACTGCAAGCTTGGGAACCAAATTTTATCTGAAGCTCTCATATTTATGATTAGTAACCCTGGAGTAACCACCTACTCTCTGCCTCTAATTTTATCAAGTTATAAATGGAAATAATTGGACCATCCAACCCCATGGGGTGGAGGTAGGGAGAAATAATTGTAATGATTATAAAGTTATTGTGAAATAAGAGAGTGCAGCGTAAATGCTTATTATTACAGTCATTCTAAGTTTTTACTCTCTGGGAGCATCTGAGGACTTTAAGTCTATGAGCTTGAATACTTGCTTGCTTTTCCCCCACCCAGGTGTTATTTGAACTTGCCCGCTACCACGCCCCATCCACGATCTTCCTGGACGAGCTGGAGTCGGTGATGAGTCAGAGAGGCACAGCTCCTGGGTAACAGACAGGGTTGGGGTTTTTGTTGTTATTGTTGTTGCTTTTTTTTTTTGTCATCGCTTCTCCCCTCTTGTAAGTGTGTTTGATGGTCGGAAGCCCATCTACATTTACTAGCAGAATAAGCCTATTAATAAGCCCACAAATTTTCTGCAGACACATGGAAAGGTCTTTAAATTAGATCCTGTTAACTGAATAGCTGATTTAAGTAGTTTTTATAACCGGAGGAAATGCCATCCTCCCTTCCCCCGTTCCCCACAGAGTGGTTTTCAGGCCTGAAGATCCTCTAGCCCCAGGATCCCAGGCTGCCATATCAGTCCTGCTGGCTGAAAATAGCCACTGTGATGGCCTCCTCTGGAGCCAGAGGGGCTGCCCCTGGGGAATGAGGCTTGCCCACTCAGCCACTGTGCAGGGCCACGTCTGTACTTCACTCCTGAGAGGCAGTCCTCGACGGTGTGTGAAGCCTGGGAAAACACCACTTCTCTGTGGCATCAGGTTATGGCTCAGCAGGGCTGACTTTAAATATGTTACATATATTATCTCTAAAGATTGAGTGTCACCGAATGTCCTCAGCAGGAAGGAACACTTCTCAGACTGTAATAAGCCTTCTGTTTGTGCTTCCAAAAGCCTGAGTAGTGTTGTGCTTTTTGTCTATTTGTTTTTAAGATCAGCTTTCTGTCTTGATCAGAGGTATTTTCCACTGAAGCTTTTTACTAAATCTGGCACCCCTGGCTTGAAAAACCAGATCTCTGGGAAATCTCAACACAGCTGCATTTATTAATGACCTTTAATGGTCTATCATCAAGGCAGAAGTAATAGTAATAAAACACAATTAATTAGCTTGTTGGAAGTATAAGTAGAATATAATTTATGAAATTTTACTCATTGGAAGCCATTTACCCGGCAGGGAAAAGCAACCATAAAGATGTACCCAAGTAATCTACGGGATTCATGTAATTGATTGAAATGGGACATTTTCCATGGCTTAACTGGAGCTGGTGCTTGTCAGCCCTAGGCTGGAGCACTCTGCTTTCTATGCTAGGCCTGACAGGAGCAGGCAACTGCACAGGCACCCAGATGGGAATGCACCAGCCGACCCTCATAGTCACTCTGCAAAGACCAGGTCTCCGTATGCACTTGTTGTTACACGTGCTTTGTTGATCTCTATCCCCAGTTTCCCACAGCCCTCATCGGGCTAATGTGAAAACTCTTCATCTGTATGTGCTCCAGGTTCTGCCCCGAATTTCCATTTCCTTGTCTGGGATCAAAGACTCTAAAATTAGAGTCTTTAAAGGGTCAGGAAATAAGGATGGGTGCTCTGAAGACTTCTTTGATCATACTATGTTAAAGGAATTATAGTTATGGGCAAACGATAATTAAACGTATAGCAAATATATGGGCAAATGCTAATTATATATTCTGCTTATAATATACAATAAACTATATACACACACACACATATATATATATACTGAGAGAGGGTCTTCTCTCTTAGGAAAAGGTAGTTGAGTATTAAGGGGCATAGATATTAAAAAACTTACACCTAGCCAGGCAGGGGTCTTGCGCCTGAGGTCCCAGCTACTCAGGAGGCTGAGGGTGTGAAAGTACTTTCCTGTGCGCTATGTAAGTGAAAGGGATTAGCCTCAATTATGTCATTTTTAAAGAGGTAAATAATGCTGCAGGTAGACACAGTTGGGCTGCATTTAATCTACCAAAGGGACTGTGGACCCTTCAGTTATTTTCTCCAGCTCACTGCCTGCCTTTAGTTTTCTTTCAAATACCATCATTATATTCATTTACTTGCTTTCTATCATGCTCTATGTGAAAATAATAGCAAATTGCTCATTTTCTCTAATTTTAGTATGAATGGCTCCACTGGCCATCAGAACAGACACTGTTCTACAGTCACAGGGACATTGCTGTGAATGCTGCTCTTGTCATGAGGGCGAAGGCTCTGACATGGGAGAATCATGTCTTCTCTCTCTGTAGGGGAGAACATGAAGGAAGCCTGCGGATGAAGACAGAGTTACTGGTGCAGATGGATGGGCTGGCACACTCAGAAGATCTTGTGTTTGTCTTAGCAGCTTCTAACCTGCCGTGGTAAGAGACCAAGAGAGTACATTCTGAATACATTTTCAGGAGTCACTAAGTACAAATAAAAATTTTATATTGACCACTCCAGGCAAAGCTGTGTTGTTTGGCTGCAGCCCTGGAAGATTAATGTGAAGGCTTTAGTGTTCAGGTCCCCAATCCTTGCTGTCTGTACCATGAAAGATCTGCCTTAACAGAGGGAACACCGGCCAGGGCAACCACTAACAATATTTAAAATGGACATTTCGAGATTAAAGTCAAATTACATAGTATGTTTAAATTAAGTAGGACTTTGGCATAGAACTACAAAATGCTTAAAATCTCCAGGACTCAAATAATATGTTTGAATTTTATAGTATTAAAATTAAGCTTTTTTAAGTTAGGAGGAAAATCTTCTCTTTAATGCTGCACAGTAAATAGAAAGGTAAATAATCTCTAGTGGAAAATATAATCTATTTTCAGAGTCTTATTTAAACCATGTCCCAGAGTGGTTTAAGAACAATTCTAGATGTGGAATTGGGAAATAAGAGATGTTGATTAGGGAAAAACAATATCTACTTTGAGAATATATTTTAAAAATAAGTATAAGCCCTTTATAGTTCTGAGACTGTTTTCACATACATTATTTCTTTCAAACTTCAAGCGAAGCAGGAGATAGATAAAGGGAATGCTGTTCTTCCCATTCTCAGAGGGGCACCAAGGTCAAGAGAGGGCAATCCACCAACATCAACAACTCTTGTAGCCCAGCTGGGACTTGTGACTTCATGCCCCTCACACCCATCTCTTGCTCTACATTCAAAGATGAAAAGAGAAACTCTTCTGTAGTGCATGCTAATAATCTGGGACTCCCAAACCAGAAGTCATTGAAAAAAAAAATCATAACGTTCATTTGTAATCTGTTATTTTAAATATACTCATAATTTAAACCTAGCTCCACCTCCCCTTGAATCTAGAATACTTTCTCCACTTGCTCAGGTGATCAGCATTTTACAATTTAAAGATATAGGAGCTATATACAATAATGTCAAAGTGGAGTCCAAAGAGAAAACCGTCATTGAAATGTGATCATGGAAACTTTTAGGGAAGGAATCTTCTTTTCTTCATCAGTTTAAAACAAGATTGATCATAACCACTGGGGGTGAATATTAGAATCAGCTGGGGAGGGAGAAAAACTGTAAGTCTTTAGGCATGAATGTGAAAAGGTCTGTGCCCTGGGGAGACCTACATATTTTCTGGAAGAATAGAGGACCTTCTACCCCCAGTGAATACCTAGGAATTTGTTGAGAAAGTTATTGTGCTGCTTCAATTTTCCTAAGCCCAAATAAAATGCTTCACAGAGGTCAAAAAACCAGAAACAAAGCAATAAACAAATAAAAACTGAATAAGCTTAGAAGGGCTTTTCCAAAAATTTGCTTCTTAATGTGTCAGTTGGCAAATACACATGTGCTTTTGAGCTTATGTTCCTTATATCATCGATTGCATCATTACAATGTGCCTTAAAACCAGTATGTTCTAACTCATATATCCTGAGCATTGTTAGGATTTTAAAAAATGTTTTATTATAAAAAATTCCAAAAAACACTAAGGAAAGGAAAAAAGCAGAATGAACCCATCATCTCCCCGTTTTAATAACACCATCTTGCTCAATTTATTTCATCTATTCCAGCACCACCCCCTGCCACTTCTTTGCTGCAGTATCTTAAATCATATTCAACTATAATGTTATTTCTCAAATGTACATGTCGAAGAAAAATAAGGACTTTTTTTTTTTTTTACATTACTACAAAGTCATTATCACCCTAACATAATTAACAGTGATTCTTTACTCTTTATATTCAGATTTCCCAATTTGTTTCAAAACTCTCTTTACCATTGACTTACTGAACTGGTATCCAAACAAGGTTTGCACTGTGTAACTGGTCATTCCCTTAAGTTGTTTTTAATCTAGAACAGACTGCCTCTTTTTTTTCTTTTTCTTTTTCTTTTTGAGATGGTGTCTTGCTCTGTCATCCAGGCTGGAGTGCAGCAGCGCGATCTCGGCTCACTGCAACCTCTGCCTCCCGGGTTCAAGCCATTCTCCTGCCTCAGCCTCCCAGGTAGCTGGGACCACAGGCACCCACCACCACGCCCGGCTAATTTTTTTGTATTTTTAGTACAGACGGGGTTTCACCATGCTGGCCAGGCTAGTCTCGAACTTCTGACCTCAAATCAGAACATCCTCCCACCTCAGTCTCTTCTTTTTTTTCTTTTCCTCCACTTGCCATTGACTTATTGCCTGCCAGAGGGATTGTCTTGCAGGATGTCCACACTTTCTGGATTAGGCTCATTGTATCCTCATGGTAGTAGGGTTGTTCTTACTCCTGTAATTAGACTAAAGGTTAGATTATTTATATTCAGGGTCAATAGAATTTTTTGGCAAACACACTTCATAGGCGATGCTGTGCACATCACGTTGCATTATACCTAGACGTATGCGATGTCTTGTTGCTCCACTTTTAGTGATGCTAAGATTGATCGCTGGGTTCAGGTGTGTCAGCCTGGTTCCTTGCCTGTACAGCTCCCATCAATGGTGTTAGCATCCACTGATGACCTCTGCCTGAATTAGTTATTTCACCAGGGGTACAAGTCTATCATTTCTTCTGATCAACAGCTGGAAGTATTCTTGATAACAGAACTTTCTCTCTTCCAGTAAGGTTATTTGGTAACCCTGAAATGTAGTTCATACTAGAAAAGCAGGATTTTTTCTCTTTTTTAGTCATGGGTTGATGCCACAGCGACCTTCAGTGGCGACCAATGAGTCAGCCATCAGCTTTTTTCTCTCTTTCACTACAAGCTCATGACTTGTTTGGTACAACCCCATTAGTTTTGTTTTTTCCCCCTAAAATTTTATTGAGATATAACTCACATACCACCCAATTCACCCATTTAGAGTATACGATTCAATGGTTTTGAGTATATTTAGGGTTGTGCAACTACCACCACAATCCATTTTAGAACATTTTTCTTTACCCCAAAAAGAAACCCTGTACTTGTTAGCAACCATCCCATTTCCCCTATGCCCACCTCAGCATTAGGCAATCACTGATCTGTTTTATGTTCTTGTAGATTTGCCTGTTCTTATACCTATGAGTAGAATTATTGGGTCATACGGCCACTCTACGTTTGATTATTTGAGGAACAGCCCAACTGTTTTCCAAAGATGTTGCACCATTTCACATGAAGCAAATTCACATTTCACAAGCAAAGGATGAGAGTTCCGATTTCTCCACAACCTTGTCAACACTTGTTATTATATGTCTGTTTTATTGTAGCCATCTGAGTGGATGAGAAATGGTTTTGATTTGCATTTCTCTGACAGATGATACTGTGCATCTTTTCATGTCCTTACTGGCCAGTTGCATATCTTCTTGGGAGAACTGTCTTTTCAAATCCTTTGTTCACTTAAAAATTTTTCTTTTTATTATTGAGTTATAAGACTTTTAAAATATATTCCAGATACATGCCCTCTATTGGATATATGATTTGTAAATAATTTCTCCCATTCTGTAGCCCGCCCTTCCTCCTTCCCTCCTTCCTTCCTTCCTTCTTCTTTCTTTTCCTCCTTCCCTCCATCACTTTATCCCTCCCTCTTCCTCTCTATCCGTCACTTTCTTTCTCTCTTCCTTCCTTTCTGAACTTTTTTATTCCTTTTTTTTCTCTCTGCCTTGTAAAAAGAAATAGGTGAAATTAATGTTAATAACATGTTTTACTTAACACAGTATTTTCAAAACATTATTTTAATATCAGTATAAAAATTATCGTGATATTGTAGTTTCTTTTTTCATACTAAATTGGAGAAATCCAGCATATATTTTACACTTACATCACACCTCAATTTGGAATAACTGAGTTTCAATACCCAAAAGCCACATGTGGCTGGTGCTACCATATGAGAGAGTACAGATCCAGAGACTCATTTGTCTCCCTCATGCTGCTATGGCAGAAATGGACAATTGCCTCCCAACATTTATTTCACCCTTGGAATTTAAGAATAGAACTTCAACTTGGGGGTTCTGTTCCTTAGTCTTCCCCTACTGTTAGGCGTGGTCAAGGCCAAGTTTCCTTCTTATTTGTGCAGGATGACTCAGGTCCATTTTGTACATTTTGCTTCTGGAATCAGCCATTTATTCGTGAAGCCCTGGTGCCTTTAGTGGGAAATGATGTTAATATTCAGAGATCACAGTCTCACAACTAGGCCTTTTGATACAGAGCTAGGAAATACATATCCTTAACAAGAGGCAAATAATGAGTCCATGTTAGTATTTCCCATTCAAATTTAGGATTAATATATTTGATTTTATATTTGTATCTTTTCTCTAATTGTGAAAATCTCAGTTCTTAGCATTAATATAATTAATATTCACTTTATCCCAATATGTACAAATACTGCATATGTGTATATATCAGAGTTTCTCAGTAATAGCACAAATACTATCTTGACAGTGACATTCTGACACAGAAAACGGTACTGACCTGGCCTAACTAAGATGAAAGAGCTAATGTGGGATTTCTCAACCTCAGAGCTACTGATGTTTTCAGGCCAGATAATTCTTTGTGGTGGGACTGTCCTGCGCACTGATGATGTTTAGCAGCATCTCTGGCCCACTATCCACTAGATGCCAGTAGCACCTCCTCCCCAGCAGTTGTGACAACCAAAATATGTCTTTAGACATTGCCATATGTTTCCTTGTAGACAAAACCACCCCCAATTGAGGACCACTGGACTCATCTAAGGATTTGATAAACATCACATCGAGACAAGCTGACACATATTCCACAGCTAAACTTACAAGGTTTTTTTAAAAACAAAAAACAAAAAACAAAAAACATAAAATAACTGAACTTGGTTTTCTTACACAAAGCATAGCTTATTACATAAATGTTTCTTTGTCTTGATTTTATCTTAACAAAATATCCTGCCAATCTTTCCAAATAAGTACATAAAGTTCTTCCTTGCTCTCTTTATAGCTGTGCAGGGCTCCATTTTGTGTATATAATAATTTATCCCACTAGCCACCTAATGATAGGCATTTGGGTTAATCCTACTCTTTAGCTATTAAAAAGAATGCTGCAGTGAGCAGCAGTGTGGAGACCACATTTTGTGTATTTGCTAGTGTATCTTTGGGGCAGGTTCCTTGAAGTAGATTTTGCTGGGTCAAAGGGCTAATGTGCATGAAAGTATGGTAGAGCCTGCCAAGTATCCCCCCCGCAGAGGTTGTACCACTTTGTATTCCCACTAGTGTCCTGTTTTCATTACTTAACATGAGAGTAAGAACATTTCCAATGTCATTAAATCATCCTTGAAAGTTAGATTTTGTAAGGGCTGACCAAAATTCTCACACACGAATATACCATCATTTCATTAATAATTCCTTCCCTGTTGAACATACATGATGATCTCAAACTTTCTCTGTTAGAAATAACAATGAAATGAATTTCCTCGCCAAAAAAATCTTTGACTAAAGTTCTGGTTGTTTCCTTAGAACAGATTTCTGGAAATCAGGTTACTGTAGCAGAGGGTTTAGACATTTCTTAAGTCCCTTGTGACGTACTGCTGAAGTCCTTCTATGAGAAAATAGTGTATTTTTTAGCAAGAATGTTGGGACAGATCTTTTTCTTGGCTTCAGGGTTGTAGATGAGGGAATAGACTTATCTGATTCAAGCAGTCTGTCCTTCTAGGGGAAATAACTAAATCATACCAAGTGATGTAAAGACCCAGTCTTAAAATCCCCAAAGAAATTCCTTACAGTTAGTGGCAGTTCTCATCTATTGCATCTTCTGGGGCACTAGGCTATTCTTTACTGCTGGTTAATTTACCACCATTTTCTCTAGACACATCGATTCTGTCTCAAAGGGGCAATCATTTTCTCCCTTCCCAGCAGTGACAGGTGTGCAGCCTTTGTTTATTCAGCACTTCTCCTCCAAACAGCACCTTCCCTAGTCTAGTCACAGAGAGGACCAGAAGAACGAACAGCTCATGTGTGTCAATTGATGTATAAACAAGCAAGAAGAAGAATAACAAATGCTGCAGCTTTAATATTACCGCTTAAAATAATAGCCATGTAAGAAATGTAGTAAACACAGTTAGGACTAATTTGACGTGCCTTGATTGTTGAGTATTCACAAACTCAAGCCTAAGAATCAGGAAACAAAATACTAAACAGGCACATTAAGGCAAATGTCATCTTCAAATGCCTATATAACTCTCTGGGAGTTTGTACAAATAAGGTGTGAAGACTGAATGTATGAAGCATGCTGAAACTCATGTTTTCCTTGTTGTTTGTAAAAGGGCTATAAATCCCAGCAACTCTCTTAAAAATCAAATACCTGGTATACCAAGCTCTGGATTAAAAAATCCCTAATATTTATAAGAAAACTTAAGATCTAAGAGATGATTGCATTTGGAATAAAATGGTCCTGATTCACTTGCAGGGAAAATCAGCAAGGAAAAGAGCTGTCAGTCAGCAGTGGCTCACCTGTGCCATCGCCTGGTGACTTCAACTTATTTTTTCAGCCAAATTTGAAACCCGCCGGGGCAATTGCTAACAGGGATGTCTTTCTGTTATCTATGTTAACCTACTTCTTCCCATATGAAGCCTCTCCTGCTGCTGTAACATTGCTATAGCAATGCATGCATGTGATTGGAGGGATCAGGAGATGTAACCTTTGTTCTTTCCATAGTAACCACATTCATTTCTGGGCTTCAGGGAGAAGCTGTCCTCCCTGCCTTCTAGCCTTGATTGTGCCTTGACTAGATCAACATTTTCCCAAAAGCAATCTGCCACAGGTCAGCAAGCATTGTGCAAAAAATGAGATCTAGTGGCCTGGTATGTTCAGGAGATGCCAAGTTAAAGATAGTTCAACTGGTTTTCCCCAGCAGCATTGCTCAATGTCTTTAAAATACGATTGTGGGCCAGGTGCAGTGGCTCATGCCTGTAATCCCAGCACTTTGGGAGGCTGAGGTAGGCAGATCACTTGAGGTCAGGTGTTCAAGACCTGCCTGGCCAACATGGTGAAACCCCACCTCTACTAAAAATACAAAAATTACCCAGGCGTAGTGGTGCGTGCCTGTAATCCCAGCTACTCAGGAGCCTGAGGCAGGAGAATGGCTTGAACCCGGGAGGTGGAGGTTGCAGTGAGTTTAGATTGCACCACTGCACTCCAGCCTGGGCAACAAAGCAAGACTCTGTCTCAAAAAAACAAAAACAAAAACAAATAAACTAACAAATACTATTGTGGCTCTGCCTCTGGGCTTTTGCACTCACTCTTAGACCTGAGTCCACAATCTGGAATGCAGTGGCACTCCCACCACCATCCCGCT